GACAGAGGTAATATTTGCCACACCAAAAAAATGCTAAGAAGTAAGAAAATATAACCTAAAGCAAATAATCTCATGCAAAAGGGAAAAGATAACCTTGGGATGAAGCTTTTCCAGGGGACTACCTACCATGCTTTGTGTGCTGGGAATGTCATAAATTCCCTGATCCTTCCAGGACTGTGCCTACCACACAACATTTTAATGTCTTTAAGCACTGTATTTATACCTGTGATATTGCTGTGTCACCTTTCATTGACTGAACAGAGGAGAAACTTCTCTCCCAAAACATCCTACTGCTCCTTCCTCCGTTAACTGGAGCTGCCTGGGATGACTGAAACACGTTTGGCAAGAAATTTTCCACACTTATACAGCAAGGAGAAATTTCCAGTAAGTGACTGAGACTATTACAGCTAATTCCATGTGCTACTATTTTCAACATATGGATTATTAGATAGTAACAATTCGATTATTTATAAGCTTATAAGAAGATGTTATTGATACGAACACAAGTGTCTGAGGATAGAGAGAGAGGAGTTAGTTAGACCTATGCAACTGGAAGACAAATTTTTGGGGATGAAATCCCCTCAAGAACACACATGTGTCTCCAGATTTTCCCCAAATCTTCTGACAGATGTTTTTGCTTCTACCTACAAGCCCCAATGTGATAATCAAGTTTTTAAAAGCTGTATACACTTTTCCTGAGCTCTTTCACAGAGAATTTGTTTTGCAATTTGGTAATAGTATCTATTAAAAGTACACAGTTCCATATCCTACAAATCCCCAGAGTTAGTGGGATCCTTCTGGAGCACTCCAGATACAGTGTGTGCCAAGGGGGCTGGGAGAACAAAAGCTATTTTGATTTAAATAAAGGCATGGCAATGCAAATGAATAATGCAGCCTCTTCTGGAGCCTGAGCCTGAGCATCTGATTTGTGAGGACTCTGCAGATGAAAAATATTCCCTAACTGCAATGAATATGGAAAGATTTCTATTCCCAATACAGCAATGTGAAAGAAGCCAAATCGTCTGTCACTCGTGTTAATTTAATTACAGGACCACATTCAATTACCCAATATAATATGCAAATGAGCTGAGCTGACAGCGCATGCTAATTATATTCATTATCCTAATTCAATCAAACAATGAAAGGGAATAAAAATGTCATGAAATCGAGGGATATTTTTAATTAACAGGAACACTTTGATTAGGAGCTGTAATTCTCCAGCCTGATCCAATGCAATGGCTGCTGAGAGATTGGACATTGCCTCCATCACTCAGCTCAGCTCTGCCTGGCTGTGCCTGGCTGTGTGTGGGAGCAGATTCAGAGGTGGCCAAGGGAAGGGAACCCCTTTCTCACTCAGCCTCCAGGCAGAGCCAGGGGTGCCCAGGCTGTCTGGCTCTGCAGGGAACACACCGATACAAAACAGACAGTGCAGTTCAGGCTTCACCACTGACACCAGAGAGTTTCAAACAGTCAAAAAAAACTCTCCCTGGGTTTTTTGAAACTTTCAGTTTCATAACTGATTTATTCCTTCGGTGACAGCAGCTGCCCTGGGAAAGCTTTATGAATGTCGAGACAAAATAGGAAAAAAGGAAGGGAATATTACTAATATATTATATGTGGGCAGAGTCAGCAAAATCACCGACTTTTTAAAATAAACAGAGCAAGCACTATCAAAACACTTCGGAATGTGTTCCTTAGGAATCCATTGTCCTCTCTGCTCCTCGACAGAATCACTGGGGCCTGGCCCAAGAGGTAATCGTGGTGCAAACTCTGCCTGGAGGGACCCACCGTGGGCCCCTCCGACCCGAGCCACAGCTCCTGGAGCTGCAGGGAGTGCTGCCCTCAGAGCCACCAGGGAAAAGAACTTCACTTTGCCACTCAGCTCACGAGAAAGACCTTTACAGCTAGTGCAATAAGACAGACCTGTGCTGCATCACGGGGCTGGCACACAGTCCTCGTGGAAGAGTTTGTTCTACGAGCGTGAAATCTTCAGCAAATTGCCCTTTTATGATTTTGACTGCACAGTGGCAACAGTTCCCTTCCCTAAATCACAGTACCACTACAGAAGGTCAGTGTTGGGGTTGACAGGCTGTAAAATTTCCCTTTTAGAAATCTGTTTATTCTCCAAACTGGGAAACTGCATTAATTTATTGATTTTAATAATTCATGCCTTTTTTCCTCTTTTTCCATTCTGCTGCTTTGCATATTTATCTGCTGATGTGGGTTAAGCAAAGGAATCACAAAAGGCACACTGAAAACTCCAAACAACTGTCAGTCTCTTTTTGTTTGGAGTGTTGAAAGGAATGAAAATAAAGCTCAGTTTGCAATAAGGAATTCGGATTTAGAGAGGAAAAGACTAAACTACAAACATTCCCAAACAAATGTACATTTGCCCGCAAGAAGAACGTGAATCTGCCCTGAAATACGTCAGATATTGACTCATTTGAAGCTGGTTCAGATACTAAACAAACAGAGTTATCTGGCTCTACCGAGATGTGTTTTCATAGCTCAAGTCTAGTGTATCTATTTTTATTACACTCTCCTTGCCAGGAGTTCCACACTACTATTTGAAAACTTTCACTGGGAGACCAATTCTTTATTTTTAGTAGGACTCAGCAGATGATCAACAACGAAAGAAAAAAATTGGAAGCTTGTAACGTCATAAAAATTGAGAGCACAGCTGAATGAACAGAAAGCACTTCCCTGTCCATGACAGGCAGCCTGTCCATAGGGGCAACCACACCAACAGCACCTGGAGACAGCCACTGTAAGCAACTGGCACTGCCCTGCCTAGGGGCAACAGGAAAATCAGAGAACCACAGAATCATAGAATTTAAGGGTTGGAATGGACCTTACCAGCCCCAACCCCCTGCCCTGGGCTGGGACACATCCTCCTAGATCAGGTTGCTCAAGGCTCATCCAGCCTGGCCTTGAACACCACCAGGGTCAGGGCAGCCACAGCCTCCCTGGGCAACCTGTGCCAGTGTCTCACCACCCTTAGAGTGAAAAACATTTTTTCTCACATCCAAACTAGACTTTCCCTCCTTCAGTTTGAACCCATTACCCCTTGTCCTATCACTGCAGTTCCTTCACCTTTACCACAACCCTGCCCTGCATTTTGCAAGTACCTGAGTGAAGGATGCTCCAGTTTTCCAAAATGTTTTTTTAAGCAAAAAAGCCAAACCAAAATGCCACTTCCTCAGTCAGAACCTTATTCATAAGGAATATTAGAAATTACATAAAGAGTTCAGTATGTTGTGACATCTCTTGAGACAGCAGCACAAAGCAAAGCACCCTGAAAGACAGTTTTTAGGGTATGAAAAGCACTGATGTACCACAGCTGTTCAATCCAAGACCTAAACTTGACTCTCAGAGCTGCAGAAGCTACCTGTAAATCCTGAGCACTGCCCCAGCCTGGGGGTGGATTAGGGACAGCACACGACCTCAACCCCAGGGGCACATGCTGAAGACTCCAAACCATTGCCCAACCCCCAGCAGGGAAGCATGTCCCAGACAAACTCCTTCTGCACACTCCCAGTGGCAGCCCCCACAGCTGCTGCCATGGCCCAGTGCCCACTGGCCATGGCTGGACCTTCACCCTGGGGCACCAGCCCAACCAGCAATGAGCACTGCAGGCTGCAAGTGCTGAGAGGAAATCCCTCTCCTGCACTATTCCTGGCACGTTTAGAGTGGCAAGTCCTCCATGCAATGAATCACATCTGTTTGTGCTTGTGTGCCAGAAGAGACATTTTTAAACTGCAGAGAAAAGACAACATGGTTTGCTGGCACTCCTGGGTGCCAGCAGGGCCTGTGGGGCAGTGGAGGGACTCACAACAGCAGCGACATCACACGGGTGGCCAAAAGGACCATACTGAAGTGCTGCCACAGTCAGCTCCAGATCCTGAGTGGGATTTGGTTATATAGGGTAGGAAGGCTGCAGGATCCTCCCTCCAGCTGTGGCCTAAGCCACAGAAACATCATCATACAACGACATTAATACTTGTGACAGCACTTGCCAGCTCTAAGGTTCCAATTATAGTCAATAACTGTATCAATGTTATCAGGCAGCTTTTCTCTGACAAGCTGCAACATTTCCTCCTTCTGCTCATCAGCTAACTGAGGGCACTGAGCTCCTCATCCTCAATCCCTGTCCCAAAAGCTGAGCAAAACCAGGAAACAGGTGGTAAAAGTATGGAGAGAACACAGTGAGTAACTTCACAAAATACAGCATTGACCCAAATCATACCCAAGCCATGGGCACCGTAACAGTCTCTACACACCCAGAGTCAGGTCCACACGCTCAAAGAGCCATTGCCAACCAACCTCTGCCCTGGCCAATACACACTGACATCTACATACAAGCTGAGGAAACTTGGAGGGTTTTAAGACTAAAATATTTAAAATATTTTTTGAGTTCTGTGTCTGGGTTATGTCATAAGCTAGTGAGAGAGGTCACAGAGTCCACTGGCAAAAGTGGATAACAATCAAGAAAGTTCAAGGGGAATTTCCACTGTTTGTTGGATAGGGTATTTGGTTTACTACTAAAAAGCTTCAAGGAGAAGAATGGCTTAAACTTAAATGAGCACTCTGGCAAGCAGGGAGATGGCTATACAGGCACTGAAAGACAAGTCTTCATGGCAGAGTAGCTCAGCTGGCTTTAAAAAGGTTCAACTTGGGTACCACAGCCATCTGATCCAGCTGACACAGAGCTGACTTGGAATTAAAAATACCAGTTGCTAAGTATACCTTGGCAGGGAGCAAGGCCAGCTAAAATCAATGCAATGTCAGCGTCGCTGTCTGCACAGGAACACGGAGTTTGCTTATGGCCACAGAAAATTAATGTCTTTGTCTTCAGATACAACTTCTGTTTCTCTTTTGCAAACACATCAGTTTGTGCTCACAGGAATCCCAATACCAGCGTTGGGGGGATTAGTTGTCTGGAGGATCCATGACTGAGTGTGCCCCTGATAACTCCTGATGCCATTCCCCATTTGCCTTACCTGGTTGTCTGTGTTGTTCACAGTGAAGTAACCCACACAGATGATGACCTCGTGCAGCAATCCTTCACAGGTGTGCTGGGAGCAGTACCACAGCAGGGAGCTGATAATGTGCCGGAAGGCGAGGGACAGTCCTTCAGCACCCACAATAGACTGGAACAAAGGCCAAGAAACAGAAATTACAGCCTAGCAGTAAGTTCTAGAATTTGTGCGAATTGCATACACATCAACTGCAGCCTTTTATTTGTTTTGCAAAGTACAGACTATGCTCTTTGACTGTGGAGGAGGACAGACTCAGCTCTCCCATCAGTAACTCATCACTCACAACTGGACTATAACGTTCAAAGCCACAAAAATAAGAAAGGATTCAAATTTTGAAGCAACACAGGAAAAATTGGGCTCTGCTTAGCTGACGTTGAGTGGAGCATTAGGTTGGCCATTTCATCTGACATGCATTACATTTTCCAGGAAAACTTCATGCTAATAATATTTCTGAGGAATAAGCAAAAGAAACCAAACCATCTTCATTTCTGCGACAGAGCAGAATGCATTCCTCATTAACTACTGCTGCTCTGAGCGGAATACAGTGATTAATAACAAATAATGACTTTTCAAACATTAAAAAAAAAGTTAGAAACATCCAAAAGGAGAGAACACTCAGCTGCAAAGCTTCCTGGGATGGTTTTTAAAAGTAGGCAAATTGCTGTAACGTGGAGATTCAGAATTAGATTTTATCTGCGCAGCCTACAGCCTCTATTTAATAAACATGTCAAACAGACAGAGCGACACGGGGTCAAAGGGGAGAACTAAAGCACAGGCAGTGAGCATGACAGTCTCCCAGCTCTGATGAAACAGTGATGCAGGCCTGGGAGAAAACCTCTTTCACTTCAGAGTTTTCTTCGTTTTCTGTCTCGTAGCTTGTGTTAAGTACAGACAGAAATCCCAGGCACAGTTTAGTCTCACCAAACTCCAAATCTACCCAGCAAAAGTAGAACCCTTGGCAATTACACCAGGCTCAGCTGGGGATACTTTCTATCCTGAACCTCGAGCAGCCTGGGAAGTCAATTTTCTAAATTTAATGCCCAATCCAGCCCCCATTTACTGCTTCCATGATGTAAATGCCACGTTCTCAGGCCCACCCTAATTCAATTAGTGCTGTCCACGCAGGCTGTGACCCAGCGCTCGGGTTAAACCTGCCCCGATAACAGCAGGTCAGGGGGCACCCTGGTTTGTGTATAAAACTTAAACCCATCTTTCAAGGAAACTATGCTTCCTTTTGAGCCAGAATTAATATCAGCTCAGGATCCTGCATTGTTTCTCACCACCATCCTTCAATTGCTTGGCCTGTCAAAGTCAATGAAATATGTCCCTGTGAGCCATCTGTGCTCATACCAACTCTGGGACACCAGAGCTCTTCTGTTAATCAACCCCCCTATTCCATAGTCCTGCTGATACGTGATAAAACTAGTCCTTAGAGAGAATCATCCCACAGGACATACACAAAGTAATGCTGGTGGCTGGTTACAAACACTGAGACACAATGGCATTGGGAGAGGGATAAATACAGAAGACATTGTTCTAAAAATGACTAGTGGTTTCCTGGGATATCAGGGAGCATCCCTGCAGGCAGTGCCACAGCTCCCCTGCCACCCAGTTCAGGTGTGCCCCTGGCACACACCTGCAGTACCCACAGCACTGGTGCACAGCCAGGCTCAAACCCAGAGGCACTCAGCAAGGTGCAGAAGAGAACTATTTTGTACCCTTTGACTTAGAGAAAGAAAAGGGAGTCAATAGCATGAGTGAGGGTTGTTTTACATGAATACTCTGTTTCTGTGCCCTGCAAGGAAACCCTCAGTGCACTGGGTCCTGCAGCAGCATCCGTTTCTATGTGCAAAGTCTTGTTGCTGTGTCAGACAAACTGAAGGTACTGAAAGTCAAGGCAAGAAATCCAAACTGGAGGAGACTTACACCAAATGCTTCACCCATGCAGAGCTCTTGCTGAGTTTAAGGCAATTCAGAAGGAGTGTGTGGTACAACTCATGTACACATTGCATGTTCAAAGAACAAGCAATCTGTTCTGATGACTTGCATGAGACTGATGCTGCTCACTGTGTTTACAAAGCAATACTTTTTGACATCTGTTTTATGTTACCAATACAACAACTTTGCCCATTTACCTGAGAAATGTACCAGTATTGGTATTGTCCTTGTAAGGCAAAATGACTCACTCACACTTGAACTCTCTTCACAGAAAAAGGCAAGCAGAGACTTACCTTCTCAGGGCTCAAAAGACAATATTTTGAGATTTTTTTCCCTTAATAAAAATGATGAAAAGTTCGATTTCCAATTGTTGGTTAATAAAATTTTACTTGGCTAAAAAAAATTAGTATTAAGCAATTTTCAGTTTCAGCTGTACAATCTTAAAGCAAGAGGCCACTGAAAGCACTGGAAAGTGTAAATTGTGGTTAGAATATAAGCAAATCCTTTCACATTAGAACAGTCATTTTGTGCTTTCGACCAAGACTTTTCTGGTACATTTTTGGTTTATTAAATATAAAAAGTACTATGCCAGAAGTGAGTAAAAAAGAAGCTAGAAGACATAACAGAGTTGATTCAGCATTTCATATATTCCAGGTTTTCACTTTTTGGCTTGATTTGTTAGCCACAGTTATCTGGTGGAAACAACAAACTTTATGCATGAAACCTAAACACTTAACCATGAAAGTTCCTTCAATAAGGTCTTAAAGACAAAACTTAGTCCAAAGGCGTAAGCAAAAATCAACATTTTCAGCATCAGAAAAGTTAGAAAACGTGTTACCTGGAAGGCAGGCAGGTCAAGCACAGCAAAGCTGTTGAAGAAACGTAAACTCTGAATGGCAACCTGGACTGTGTTGGCAGCATAGCTGTCCTTGGGGCTGGCTGTGTTCGGGTCGGAGATCGTCCCGTGGAACAGAACACAGTACAGCATGTGCAGGACTCCAACCAGATCCGTAGCCTGAAGAGCTGCTGTTAGTCCTGTGGGGTCCTGACGTGTGTTGTCAAATATGTTCCAAGATCTGCCAGAGAAACATAAAGCTGCCTGAGGAGCAGAGCAGTGGGGAAAGCAGCTAACGAGCCCAACGCCAGCAAAACAGTGAACTGCTCACCAGGAAAAAATTGATGCCTAATGTGTCAAGAAAGCACAACAGTTGAAGAAATTCCTTTCACTAACCAGGGCACTGTCTCACGCTGCACCATTCACTGTCTTTCCTCACACAGTGGTGTTTGTGCCCCTCACCAGTGCGAGGCCATGCAGGAATCTTTCAAGCTGGAAGCCTGGGGGCACTTTGGGAGCACTTTGGGGGCTCCATGCAGGCCCTGTCTCAGGCCAGGAGCACACCCCCACCTTTTCTGCTTGCAGCAGTGGTGGGAGAGCTCCCAGAGCCTCTCACTGCAGCACAGACAGGCTGCAGCACTGGAACAAACTGCCTACCTAAGCAGCAAAATCAGTTACTAGGACCAGATGATCTTAATCAAATAGTTCTGCAGGAATTTAAGAATGAAGTGGCTCAGCAGTAAGAAAACACATTACTTCTCATTTCAGTCAGATGCTGTTACGGGAGATTGTAGCAGGGCAGCAAAGCACAGAGGGTAGGAAACACTTGAGACAAACCAGCACAGCTCGTGCACGTGGGAACTGCATTTCTTTGCCACTTCTGGGTTATTTTGGTTATCCAGGATACCAGCATAGACAGGTAAACAACTCAGGATGCCCCTTCCATTTTCACATCCAGACTTTCAGAAGCACTTAACATAATCCCTCCATGATTAGTATGACCCACGTGTTTTCACATGATTAATAATCCAGAAGATGATGCAGGACAACCACTACTAAGGCAGACTCAGGTTGTCACTACTTGGAGGTTAAATAATGTGTGGAAGGCAGGCAAGTACAAAATAAAGTCCCAAAACTCTTCAGCACTCTGAGTTCTAATTCAAACCCATCATGCAAATTACCTGATCTTCACTTTGGAAATACATTTAGTTGATATTGGTGATCAAAGGAAACACTAAACCATTAAGATACAGTGAACAGTAACACTGAAAATACACTACATCAAGGTCTGGTCTTTACCTCATCTATCATGTTTCCATCTTAAAAAAAAAAAGAAGCAAGTGTCAATATCAAAAGAGACTACAAAGGCTGAGTGTATATATTATTCTTTCTTATAACTACAGGAAAATATGACAGGTGATATGTTATAAAAGGACAAATTACATGAGGATATTTGTCCTTTTTATACCAACTAAAAGCAAAGCAATTGGGAAAGTAGTGAAAACAGAACCACTTTCTAAAGTAATCTGTAACTTTGAAGACCTCAGTTTAATACAGCAAAGACCAGACACTCAGAGGGCTCAGACTACTCCTGCAACCAGAGTCAGTAAGGAGATTTCCCTTGCCTAGAACAGCTCTACATGATCTCTTCAATATCTGCACAGCCTTTGAGGGGTCTTCTCACAGCCCTGAGCCCAGGGAAATATGACAGCACAGCACTGGGTTGTACACAACTTGCTTCATTAGCACCCATCTGCTCTCCCCACTGTCCACTCACACCTTTACCTCCAGGATGCAGCTGCTCAGATGACCCCTCTGCTTTTTATCAGCTAGATCACATGTGTTAGTAATGATCTCACCTGAAATTAGCATTTATGGGTACCTTTCCCAAAAAGCAACGTAGCTGTGACTATTTTCCCCAAGACACTAAGGTTTGCTGCACAAAAAGTGGGAAAAATATTAGAGCTCTGTGTGTGTTTGGGTGGAGCTACACTGCACAACAATTTATGGCAAGGCTTTCCTTTTCCTACGCCTGGAAACCATGCCCAAAATCTTCATTTTGAAGCTCTGTGGTCTTTAAGTGAGTGTGTGTGAATGGAGTCAGCAGAGACACTTCCTGAGCCATCACCTGGCCGTGCCAGCTGTGCCCCTGCTGCACAGTTCCAAGTCCTGTGGGCACACAAATCTGGCTGCAAGGAGGGAACAAACCTGGATGGTTGCAAAAGGAAGGGGAGCCAACAGCCCTGGGACCACCACGTTCACAGCTTGGCTCTGTGTGGCTCTGGGCTCCCTGGTACTCCTCACTTCAAAATACCTTCTGATGTGCAGTGATTGATTTTGCAGGATGCAGTAGCCAAACTGTGCTAACCATTCCTTAACTACACTGGAGCAACTAGAATGTTTATTGCCACAGGGTCACATGAGAGCACAGCTCCTCTTGCCAACTAGTGTTTCTTAATTTCAATCTTAGCCTTTTCAACAGTCCAGAAACACTCCCAGTCAAACGATAACCCCAAATTAATTACTGCATATGATACCTCACACAATTTTTCCTGACTCTATGCAATGAGAAGATTGACCAATTTTACCAAAGGTTAAAGTTAGTTTGCTTTCAACTCTCACTCCATCATTATTTTTAAACAATTCCATATGAAAAAGCTTACATAGCTGGATGAAATCCTTTCACCATTTTGTGCTGCTCTGGAGCAGAGAATGAATCAAAATATACATAAAAAAGTCAATTGTAAAATAGCTCAAAACGCAAACATTAGTTTTTTTCACAAAGAAAAGACCAAAAATTTTAAAGTTATACCCCAGGACAAAGCTGTTAAATAGAAATTAAAAACCTGTCTGCTAGATTTGGTGAAGGAACTGCTGGAAAGATTTATTTTTGACGTTGTGTTAGGGTCAATGTGTATGTGAACCATTAGCTCCTGTTGGGATTAACTGTCAGTCACATCACTTTAAGCCTCAATGTTTACAGGTAAAATACATTATTAATACTCAAATCTATATGAGATGCTGAAAAAAATCAAGCAAATTTTGGTCTCTGGTGCTTTGAGTGAGTTTGGTCTGTACAGCAATGAACTTCATACGTTGAGCAGATTATTAATCCACCTCAAAGGTAATCCCAGTGAAAGGTCAGTGCTAACTGTGAGGACAGACTGGAGTAAAAACCCACAAAAACAAATCTGTGTGAGGATGTCACCCAAGAAAAGGAGGTTTTACCTAACTGAAGAGAACAGATTCCTACAGTTGTACCTCCTTTAAATTCTCCCATTTAAAGCAGCTTTGTCTCTGTGTCTGTAACATCTGCCAAAGTGAAATAGTCACTGTGGACAAAACCCTTCAATTAATCCCTGAAGGGAACCAACACGTACCAGATTTTTCACACTGACTGACATAGCTGAGAAAACAGGACTTCAAACCTCACCAGTCTATACACTTAACACAGAAAAACAGGCAAATATTTACATTGCAGCCAAACAACCTGCAGGATCTTAAAAGAACAGCTTAATGAAATGTAGGGAATTTTCAGCATGGGTTGCCACAACGACTTTTAGCTTTGGCCATGAAGGAGTCTCAGCAGTTGGAAAAGGGTTTATGACTTACAAAAAAGGTTTAAGAACTCATAAATGTGGATATATCCATCCCAACAAAGAGAGATACTGAACAGTGGTACTAGATTGCTTGAAATACACCACTATTGAAAACAGGAATTCAGTGCAGCCTGATGAGAAACAGCAGAGTCTGCAGAGCAGTGTAGAACTACAATTTCTCCAAGCTTCAATAGGAGCAAACTGTTTATATCTGGAAATACATTGTTTTAGAAACTGACTGGGCTAACAAGCAGACAAATCTCCCCAAGGGTACACACTATCATCTTTGGATACCTGAAATATACACTCCTGATTAAAACCATGGAGAGAAATGCAAACATGACTTTCCAAAAGGCTTAGAATATAATCTGTTGAGGGGGTTTATTACTAGGATTGAAAAACTATCATTAGTACTTTTTGCTCCTAAATTATTTTATCTAGACAGATGCCAAAATAAAAAGGCAAAGTAATAATAAAAGAAGAATAAAGAAGCATTTAGTACCTGTCAGACCTTGTTACAACTCACACTGTTGAGCCTGTGGAAATGTGACGGTGTGAAACCTTTCAGTAACTTCAAGTACAAGTTTTAGTTAGTTTACAGGACTTGCTGGAGCTGCTGACTCTTGGCAGTGGTGAGAAGCACAACTGAGGTTCAGACAGACTTCCACCTGACTCACCATCCAGGAGCCAAAACAGACATTGTCTTAATTACTGCAATAAAGCTGAAAACAGACTCCTTTTCCCTGCATCCCTGGCATGCCAGCCACGCTTTCCCTGGATCCCTGCAGCTTTCTGCCCCTGCAGCTTGTAATCCACAACTTCACTAGCTGTTGACACAGATTTATGTAGATTCCACCACTGGTTTGAGATAATATAACAATTACAATTCAGTTACTGCACTGCTAGGACATCATATTTCCCTGGTTACAATTCAGTTACTGCACTGCTAGGATGTCATATTTCCCTGAGTTAACGAGGGAACTTGCAGACATTTAACAGCAAAGTTTTCAAACAGCTGCTGTCCCAAGAAGCTACAAAATTTGCACTGTTCTCCTTATGCACAACTCACTTTCCTCCTCTACCTGTGTTACTGCTCTCCACTGACCTGCCCTAAGGGAGAACATTCCTCCCCAGTGATTAACCCTTACACTGCACCACTAACAACAGTTTCCTCCTGCTCTTTGCATCAACTCTGGTTGCTATGAAACTCTTCACTCATATTAATGGGCAAAAGTGAAAGAAAGCATTAACTATAGCCCTCCATAAAGTAACAACAGAATTCTTGGACAGGAATCTGAGTTCCAGAGACTTACAGGGCAAAAAGAGATCCAGACTTGATTCACATTGGGCAGCACAGGAAAAGACAGGAACACAAGCAAAATCCTTGCTGTGCTGGTAAAGGACTTGCCATATAGTTTCTTCCCTAGTCTTTGCTCCTGCTTTTAAGGAAGGCTGAGCTGGGCAGCATGGCCTTACCTTTGCTAATGCTTCTTGCATTCCATGTCTGCTCACCATTTTCTGCCCTGTGGGTACAAGCCAAGCACGTTCCAGATGTGTACTCAGGGCTCGAGGGCCCAACATGGGCCTTGTGTCCCTCACAGTTACAGTAATACACCCTGGAAAAAAGGGATATTGTCCTGGACATTGCTACTGGACATCTGAAATGGGACACAAACTGCTGGAGATTTATGTGGCCATATAAACCACTGCTACTCTGTATAAAGTCTATTTAATATTTTGCTTTCTTTCAGGTTAATAAAAACGCTCTCTGCTTTCAATTCTGGCTACTGTTCCTCTTAATGGTGAGCAAAAACCAGTTAAGTATTATCACAGCCACAATTTTCAAGCCTGTGCACCAAATGTCAGGTTCATCTTCTGCTCAGCAGAGACAGCTCAACACTCAGACATGCTGCATTTTGTGATTTCTCCTACACACCCTAAGGGGCAACATGCTGTTTTCAGCTCTCATACACTTCCTTTTTTAACCCATCAGGGAGAGCAATGGATGCAAGACAGCATCAGAAAAATGGGACTTGCAGTTGGAGGTCTCAAGTCACCCTCAATGACTCTCACTGTGTAACAGAAAAGGGCATAAAGATCATCAAAACAAGGTTCACCCAGGGTTATAAGCTATTAAGGTTTTCAGCATCTGAATCTTTTCTACCCATTGCACAGTGTTGGGGAATGTGCTATTCCAGCCACAGCAAAACTTCAATTAACAGAATCAATCAAGCCTTTATTAGCCAGTATCAAAAATGATAACTTGAGAAGTAAGATCAATAGCAAGTTCAATCTTTTTTAAAGACCTTGATCATAAATGGAAAGAAAATCCCTCTCTCATAATAGGATATGTTTATCACACATTTTCAGAATGGATTCCTTCATTTCAATCACATTTTATGAGGTTAAAATTGAGAATCCTCCAATTTATGTTTCTACTTTCCTTTATTGTAGCTAACTCCATGATTTTGGACCTTTTTATTTTTTCACAAGTCTCCCATGGTAATAAAAATGTCTCTATGTTCATGTCTTATAATTTAACCATCTACATTATATCAATCGTAGACCTCATTTAATACTTCATGGTGAGATGTGTGTGTGTATATATGAAACAACTTAAGGTTAATTAATACTTCATGGTGAGATGTGTGTGTATATATGAAACAACTTGAGGTTAGTCTCTAATAATCACCATAGTTGTGACACTTTGCCCGACACAGAGGTGCAGGGATGTACTTGACTGAGATCTTTTCCTTCCCTATAGATCTGTTTTCCATGACCTGTTCAAACAAACACTGGGTATCAATTCAGAGCTTGGTTTAGAAATATTCTGCTCAATTTGGGAGCTTTATGAAATGTTCTTGAGAGCAAGATAGGAAAATCTAGACTGACAGCTCTTCCTACATCAGAAATGGTCTATATTTTTCATACCCACAGGACAGGATCTCTTAGCTGTTTCAAACTCGAGTTGGAGTGTTTAGCTTCTTGCCCTCTGGGGATATGGCAGATTACAGCTGCAGGAACGTTCCCAGCAGCCTGGTAGGGTCTGGAAGCACAGAAGGAGGATCCCACAGTCATTTCCAGCTCACAAAGGATTTCATTGTTGCACTGGGTTGCTCTGAGCCCTAAGGTGGTCCCAGGGTATAAACCACCCAACATTTACTGTCCTGCCTCAGCTTCCCACTAAGCCACTGAGAGCTGCACACAGGACAGACAGCACTCTATAAAAACACTCTAAGGCATTTAATAGGGAATGACAACTTTTCATATGGCAAAGAACACCCTGAAAAAGTTCTATCAGAAAAAACAAACTAATTTTGTGGCCCCTCCATCCCACCACAACCATCAAAGAGCACGGAGAAGTTTCCAACCTGAAACCATAAAATACAGGAGGATATATCAAAAGAACAATTCAAAATTGCTTTTCAGCAATGGTGAAAACTTGCCCTTATTTTGGCAAAGCTTCTTGTGCTACAGTGTCAGAGCACTGGTGAAACTTCCTGGGCCTTTTTCCTCAGTAAGAACTGCAGGTTTGGTGCTCAGAGTGGTCAGTTCCTGTGAGGTGCAGGGGTGGGACACAGCAGGCTGGGCTGGAGCTCAGGCAGTACCAGCTGAGGTGGAGAAGGAGCAATGTTGGGTTTTGACTGAACAGGCTGCATTGCCTCCTCCCACCATTTCCCAGGAATGAAAGAGGCATCTGTACTTCTGGCACAGGGACCACCTTTTGTGCTGCAGCTCAGGTGTCATACCCCATGTATTACTGCAGTGTGACATATTTAAGAATTCAATAAATCTGAGCTCTGTTTCTGCCACCTTAATCTGTGTTTGGCAATACCTTTTCCCATTTAAATCACTTTGAACACTGAGGATTTCTGTAACGTGGCAGAATTACACTCTGCATTCACTCCTCAGATGAGAGTGGGCTCAGGTGATGAAAGACATCTGATTCAAACTGCCCTTCTAATCAGTTACACCAAAGCTTTTGATCTGGAAGACAACAGTTTTGAAATCTCCAAATACATTCCTCTCATTTCTTTTCATGCTCAAAGGAACAATCCAACCTGGAAATCGAGAACAATCAGCACCTTTGGATAAAATCCAAAGTGTTGCTGTTATATGCAGGTAGTAAGATCAGACACTTCTTGGTTTAACTGTGAAGAAAAATGCTTAACCCTCCAAAATGACCCTGCTGCTACAGAGAACAGATGATCCTGAAGGAAGTACTTGTGCAGTGCTGTGTTATTTTGGGGTGCAAACATCTCCTATACCTGGGTGAAGCACATGTCTGCTCCAGGAACTGCACATACTGTGTCCCTCACTCTTGTAGCTACAACTATTACTCCACTAACAGAAAGCTGATTCTTTTGTTATTTTATTTAGTGAGCATTTGACTTCTGGCAGTGCTCTCCTGCAATGCAAAACACCAAGTTGGCAGCTTTCAGAAAGGGAAATCTCACTCAGTTGGGATGGTCTCTTCGGGCTCATATTTCTTGCAGTTCTTTTTCCATCTGCCTGTGTCCATAGGTTAGCAGCAACAGCTCTTACCTACAGCTTTGTTTCATCTTTTATGCTTTAATAACTCTAGTTTTTCCACCCTAGCATCATTTTACCCTTCAGGAATGCACTGTAAAGTTCTGTCAGCCTTGATTTCTCCTGAAATGTGTAACAGTAATGAGTTCTAGTAGGTGCACCCAAAGCTCTGAGATTCTGACTCTCACCTGAGTGTCAGTCTATCCCACACTGCATCACAGAAGTCCAGACCTGCTGGCAGCCTCATGCACTCCCCACAGCCCTGGGGGACATCTGGGTTACAACAACTACCATTTTGCCTTAGAAAATTCCCTGACAAATGTAGTAATGCTTTTCTGTACAGAAAATAGAATTCCCGTACTGACATTGGCATTTTAAGGAGCAGGAGATGAATTAGGCTGCTCTAGAGACACAGAATCACAGAATCAATCTGGTTAGAAGAGACCTCAAAGATCATCAAGACCAACCCTACCATGGTCACTAGACCATGGCACTAAGTGCCACATCCAGTCTCAGCTTGAAAACCTCCAGGGATGGTGAATCCACCACCTCCCTGGGCAGCACATTCCAATGCCTGATCACTCTCTCTGTAAAAAATCTCTTCCTAATATCCAACCTAACCCTCCCCTGGCAGAGCTTGAGTCTGTGCCCTCTTGTCCTACTGGTGGCTGCCTGTGAGAAGAGACCAACCCCCAAAATTCAATCAAGAGCTGATTTTACCTGATAATAAAATACCTCTTGAATCCCTTAGGCCTGGACACTCCAAACTACCAGTGAGAAAACCCATCTGTAATGCTGACCAAAGGAGATGGAGTTTGCAATTCTGACAAATGGCTTACAAGAATCAATCCTCAGTGTGGGTCACTAACCAGAGTGTGCTGTGAGAGGCTGAGCAGAGTGAACCCTCTGCACTGTTTCCTTGCCAGCAGAGCAGAGCAGCTGCTGCCAGCCCCATCTCCTGAGCCCCAGTCCTACCTGCCACTGACAGCGACGCAGAGCTGGCACATCCCGTGCAGCATGGCCGTGGCACCCTGCAGGAAACTGGCTGTCTTGGCATTCTCATCAACAGGGCCTTGCACAGACAGGAAGCAGCAGCACAGCTTGTCTACCAATCCTATGTTCACCACATAACTAGAAACAGAAGGAAAATTGGATTAAAAAAAACAACAGTCCCATGCCAGTTTGGGTAACTTTAAGTAATATTTGCTTCTCTACTATCAAACCACACAAACTGCAGGTTGTGATGACTTAAATACTCTTTCTGCAAGGGTTCAGTAAAACAATTCCCATTACAGTAAGTTCAGATCTGGCACTCTGTGACTATCAGTAGTTTTTGTTAAGAGAACTGTCTGTGGTAGGATAATTTGTATTCTACTGTACAAGAAAGATGAGTGTAAATGTTTATTTTACCATACTGCTAGAAGGACAATGGAATTTTGCCATAGTTAAATGATTTATAATAATCTTGATAGCTCTGCAACAGCACAATTTCTTTTTAGCATGAAGAGGTAAACTTTGCAGAACACACTAATTCAAGAAGACAATGATGTTACCCAGATAAGGTTTTATTGCAATCCATATATCACAGCAACTACTGCCCAGTCCTTGGGTCCTTCTCCCTTTTAAATATATGTGGAACAGCTCAGGGACTAATAGGATATGCAGGTAACAACTTTCTACCATCAGTGTAGAAGGATCAGGAGCTCAACTGAACTCAATGCAGAGAGAATCAGGCTTGGGTTTTTTTGGCCATGGTTTTTAAACTGAAAATTCCTCTTTATTTTTTAGTATCAGGGTAGATCAGATCATCATTGCTCATCAGATCACTACTGCTGAAGTTTCATCTTTGAATTTCTAATAGTTTGGAACCCCATGCCAAAAAAACCTGTGCTCTGCCCTATGTACCAAGATCTCTCTATTGGTTAGCTAATGCTTCTTGCAGAAGCTGTACAAATATTTACTAAACACAACCATTCCCTCACAACAGGTCCAACAGTCTGACCTGGAAAAAACAGGGATTTTTAAGAAGAGGGAAGAAAACCTCCCCACGTTTCAGACAGTGCTGCGATTTTTAAGAAGAGGGAAGAAAACCTCTCCACATTTCAGACAGTGCTGTTGCTCAGACTAACTTCTCTTCAAAGCTAGACTTTCTGCCAAAGTTCACCCTGCTGACACAAAGCTTCAGGAAGCAGTGGAAGGAATTGAGGATAAAAATACACTGGATATAAAGTAAGAAGTCTAACTGCAGTATGAAAGATTTTTAAAGCTGCTGAAGTACAGCACTTCAAGACTTAAACACTTCAAGATGCACAAAGGTTATTTATTGCACACTCATTGCTCAGGGAAATTTGTCTGTTCTATTTAGCAAGAGAAAACGTTTCCAGCATTAGGTTTCTTGCAGATTTGGATGTAAGCAATCCACCTGATCATACAGGTGATAAGCAAGCTCTCTTCTATTAGCAGGATCATTCCAGGAACAGAGCTGGGTGTTAGATACATCACAGTCACAGAGAAATGCTGAGTGCTCGAAATAGCTCTGTGAAATAGGAGGGGAGAGGAAGAACTAAATAAAATAGAGCTAATACTGATAGGTGATTAGTCACAGAAAGGAATAACATCCACCTGATCATACAGGTGATAAGCAAGCTCTCTTCTATTAGCAGGATCATTCCAGGAACAGAGCTGGGTGTTAGATACATCACAGTCACAGAGAAATGCTGAGTGCTCGAAATAGCTCTGTGAAATAGGAGGGGAGAGGAAGAACTAAATAAAATAGAGCTAATACTGATAGGTGATTAGTCACAGAAAGGAATAACTCACCAAGATT